GGGGGGGGGGGGGGGGGGGGGGGGGGGGGGCAGCAGAAATAGGCTCTTAGAATAACATTCCCAAGCTTTTTTAAAGAGGTAGAATATGAGTTCATTTAGCAAAGTACGTCTTCGTGCCTGATTTCCTCAAGTGTTTCAAGATGTTTTGACCAGAGTTGTGGTTTTCGCGTTTCAGGTTATTTGACGTGACAGCACTGATACAGACCTTCAGCATTTGGTTTTTCATAGGAAAACACAAACCGCAACAACTGCAGTTTGCAGTTACGCGTTCGCGCTTTCACAATGCTGGGATTTCAAATTTTAACAAGGTGTTCATTGTTTAGGGCCGATATGTTGTTTTTCCTCGAGTCAAAGTGCATCACTTCTAATAATAGGGATAATTCGTTTATTCGAGTTCAAACATCCAACAAGCACATCGCAGACGGATAAAGAAAGCTACTTCGTGCCTTTAAACGTAGAAGCTGTACAATTTTTAGTGGCAAAAAACCTTGCCGTAAATCACTTCCCTCTGGACGCCCCTCCTGCCGTTCAGACGTGAACTGCAAACTGCTGAAACGCAACACAAGACCGCAGTCTCTTGACATTCTCAGGTTTGTTGTTTGTGGTTTTCCATGAAAAACCTTATGGTGCTAAAGAAGGTTCCTAATTTTTCTAGGAAAAGCATTACTGTAATTCCGGAAAACTATGAATACTTGAAATACTCTTAAGATGTTTATTTGTTTTCCGGTTTGAACTGTAAGCCAGGGGAACCCCCTTTTCCTGAAATACGTCCCGCGATTGGACAAACCACCACAAAGAGTTACATGAGCCGTATCATATGTCACGAGCTGTATGATTCACAAAAAACCTACAAGCTACTCTGGAATCTTCAGTGACTGTGGCAATCAGCACCAAGGAGTCATTTAATAGTCGCTGCATGAGTGACCTTAACTAAGTTAAATAGAGCCCTGTTAACAGGAGAGCGACAAGCAAGACTACGGCAAGCCACCACGAGAATCGCGTTTGCTTGCAACAAACTGTCAAACTCATACGTAAGGCTAGTTCACAGCTGATTTTACGCTAATAGTTACTGTTGATCATTCTAATGAGTTTTTGTTCCTCCTGATAGACATTCAGATTTACTTAATTTCAGATTCATTATCTTTGAGAAATATTTTCCTTTTCCTAAAGTTTGGCTTATCATAAATATAAGTCATAGTTTGTGATGGGTTTTTATAGATGAGAACGCAAAGATTTGTCAGATCATGATTTTATTCATGAATAATGTTCTTGGATTTTGCGTATTCGGAGTCGCTAATTCCCAAAAATTTGAGGCCGTTACAAAGATATACATAAAGGACACACTGTGAAGTGCCAGGTAACGAATTATGATGTTTGGTTTAATTTGATGGAATCCATTAGGCTTTTCAGGGTCCTGGTTTTCCCTTCATTGAAACTCGGGGTTCGGGATTTTAAAGCAAACCGCGGCGAGATTCGGGATTGAAAGTATGCGCGCGCGCGGGAGATGCCAAAAATAAACCTTGCGATTACGGGATCCGTGGGTTTGTAGGTTGGGATTACGGGATTGAAGAACGCTATTGGGGACCCAGTAATTTCACATTTCAATAAATTATTGATAATGCAGTAGAATTAACCTCGGTGACTAAACTATTTAAGTCCCATCTCCGTACGCGTTGGACTGCACTCCAGCGGATTCGAACTCGAGTTCCTCGCCAACTCAACTAAATTTCATTCATTTTCCTTGATCAAACAACTTTACCCCTATAACTCGAATTATGGTTTTTGCAACATATTAGGGTTTTATGAGTCATGCCGGATCATCATAATAATAATGCATAATCGACCGGCCCGATAACTCGAACCCCCTAACTTGAGTTCGGGTTATCGAGGTCTACTGTACATGAATGGCCTCTACATATTCCTATAAAGAATCAGAACAAACAGATTATAATTGCTCGGAGGAGAATACCGTAAACTGCCGCCTATATAAGCTTCCCCGCCGCAGATTGTAAGCTCTCCCCCCTTCCCCCAAGTATTAGGCAAGTCACCTGTAAACCAAAAAATATATCCGACGAGAATAATTACGAAACTCGTTGCGGGTATGGCTACTGATCCGATCCGATTATAAGCTCCCCCGAAAAGAAAAGTAAGCCCCCCTTAAAATGTATCCAAATGAATCTGAAGTATTATGACCCTTTGTAGCGCAACTAAAAAAAAACAGTAAATGTCGCAAAACGTATAATTTTGATCAGCACCGATATAGCTTGTTTCGAAGCCCTTTTTCTATTCCGGTTATTAAAGCCCCCTCGGAAATAAAGCTCTTCGTTTATAAGAGTTAATGAAACCCATAAGGCTTAGGAAGGTCAAACGTCAAACTATACATGAGAAAAACCAAACTTAGTGAGTTAAGTTAGTAAAAATTTCTGGCTCAGTTAGGTTCGTCTGAATAAGTTTGGATCGTTCAACAAGTTCTTTCTGAATGCTTCAGACGGATAGAACGTCTGAAGATGGTCTGTGAACGTTACCAGTTACATCATCTTTTCAACCTTTTTCTTGAAGTTTAAGTGCAAAATTTGTGTTCAGAAAGAAGTAAGTAATAATTTTAAAAATCACATTTTGGTCACGTGACCCCCTACGAATTTATTCATTTTAAGAAAATGGTCGGGAATAAGCGCATTCTTAGGTTTATAGTACAGGACTACAGCTCTCCATATGACATTTTACTAAGCAAAGTTCATATGAAATCTCTATTCATTAGACGCCTCCAGAACTTCATGATCACATTATATAAGAGTCTGTTCTTTACGAATTATCCAGGTTATTTAAAGGGAACCTCCACTTCAACAAAAAGATAACTCTAAATCACAGGAAATAACTGTTACAGTCAAGTCAATCTAACATATTTTTAAAGAAAGCGTTTGTATCCGAAAGAAATAACTTTTAGATTCGCCTATTTTTGTTTTCAAATTTTGCGGGCGTCGCCATCGTGAACAAATGTGAAGTGTTACGGTTGCCCTATTGTTATTAAACAAAAGCTCCTTGTGTCAGAACAATAGAGCAACCGTAACACGCCACAATTATTCAAGATGGCGGCGCCCGCGAAATTTGAGAGTGAAAATAAGCGATTTTAAAATTCACTTTTCCTGATATAAACACTTTTTTAAGGACAAATTTCGAACAAATTTGTTTATCAACATAATTTTATTCGATTTAAAGTTATTCTGTAGTAAGAGTGGAGGTTCCCTTTAAAAGATATGTTCACCGTACGGTCTTCATCCTACAATTTGCGCGGAAATCATATCCTGGCCCTTCCCAACCCAAAAACAACGACTTACGGTCTGCACTCTTTTTCATACTTAGCTAGCAAAATATGGAACTCTCTCCCAGACACTTACAAAACATTAAATTTTCTAGAATTCAAGCAGGAGATCCTCAGATATGAACCTTTTCCACAGTAGATTTACAAGTTATATTTCCCTTTGCATGCATAATGTTGTATATAGTTTATAAACAATATTGGAATTGTAATATAGCATATTTTATTTTTTTAAAACTTATTTTCTCGAATACATTAGCTCTACAGCTACTCTGTAAATTTCGAGCATAAATAAAGTATATGTATGTATGCATGTATCTATATGATGTCACATGTCCTTTTAAGGCAAGTAGCCTATTCACTAGCTATAGAAGACGTTAATCTCATTTCGGTTACTTCCCATAAACGACGAGTCCTCGTAGGGTATCCCGAACGAAGAAACTCCACTCAGCGTTACAGGGAATAAAACGGTAAATTACTTTCTACTGTCTTTCCAAAATGTGAGATCGCCGCTTGAACGTCTGCAGTAGACGACATTTCAGTACGTTAGATCATAATTTTCAGAAGAATAGCGGATAGTGATGAATACGTTGTTGTTCAGTCTCGTCATTTTAGGCGAAACATTTCTGAATTTTCTTTATTGACAATTTAATATAAAAATTGTTTTTAGTGTTAATGTTGTAAACGGAATTTAATAGTTCTTACTCATTTAGCTTTTCTGATTGTAATTTTAGTAGTTTTATAGCATGTATTTTTGTTTACTGAAATATTTTAGACTAGTAGATCGGCACAGTTTAAGTAATAAAAGGTGCGCAAAGTAGGAAAATATAATGAAGTATATTCAGTTTTAGAAGTATACTATTCACTCGCGTGCCGCAGTTTTCTGAGGAGTTTTTTATTAGTTTGTGTGTTTCTGTCAATATCATACGGGGTTTCGCTCTGTTGAGCTTATTACTCGCGACGTCCTGTTACCTCGCTCATGACGGCGGCCTCTCAACGGGGAGACTAGTAGATCGGCACAGTTTATGTAATAAAGGGTACACAAAGTAGGAAAATATAATGAAGTATATTCAGTTTTAAAACTATACTATTCACTCATATTGCTAAGGCCATTAAGCTACATTTGTAGTTCAATTTTCAGGATCATTGATGGAAGCAAACCGTTCTAAATAGCATTTTATCAAATATGCAAAGAAATAGTCGTGCCTTTTAAGTGAGGATCGGTACGCTTCACTGAAATTTGGCGTTACGCGCCGGTGTATAGGGTCTTTTCATTAACTCTTTTGTATTGTAATATGAAAGGAAGTGACGAAAGACTGCAAAGTATCTTGACAATCTTGTCTACTGTTTTAAAGTGCACCTAACCCCAAATTTTTTTATTCGCCTAAATGAATGTGCTTGCTTTCTTGAGTATATCTGTGAAAAGCTTTTTAGATTTGGTTAAATCCTCGATTTTCTGTGACCTGTTGAATTGGAGGATAATTTGGTCCAGTACCGAGCAACATGGGATCTGGAACGAGTGCCGGGGCTGTCACGTGATATGACGTAAATTCAGGAACCGAAATTCCCGCAAGCAAAGCATCGCGAAGCAATTTATCTCACCTTTGCGTGGTGTGGAAGACATAGAAGCAACTTTCGAGCCAAATTTCGGTCACCAGAAGCTATAATTTAACCATATTTTGCAATGTCGTCCTCTGATGATTCAGCGGTAAGCTGCACCGATTCAGAGTATGAGATGGAGGCAGAAAGTGATCTCGATCGCGAAGCATCGCCACCGACAAGCGATGACGAAGCGACCGCATTTGCAGATGACCCACTAGCGGACGCAGAGTGGACAGCTCAATACGAACAGGAAATAGAGAAGGAAAAGGAGCTGGAGCAAGAGTTAATTAAGAGATTACAGGGCGCTACACAAGTCAGTCAATGGTAAGCATTTGTTTCTATGAATCTTATTTCTATAAGCTTACATATTTGTGCAGTATCAAACGCAGCCTTGACTCATCAATTTGCTCTGTTTATGTTCTGTAGGTGCAAGTGTGGAAACTGCAGTGTCCTTTTGTTACAAAACATCAGTGAATGTTATTGCTGTAGTGAACTCGAGGGCTGCCTGGAATCGACGAAGACCGACCTCGTCCTTCTAGATATCGGGGCCGACGTTACCCTAAAGTGCGTTACGCAGCACCCAGGATTCAATCCCGTTTGTCTCCAGAAATGGAGTCTGAGGTTGGCTGCAGGGAAATTCAAGACGAAAAGCAAACAACAGTACAGACAGAAAGGAAGTGAGGAAAGGTTAGTTAATGATAGAATTCAAGGCTAAATCATTATGTAAGCTTCGGCGTAGGTTCTCAAAAACGTCTCGACTTCTGATCAGTGAAACAAAAATCAGAATAGTAATAACTTTGTCTGGTTACCTTGCGTTTCGGTGATTGGTTAGGGAAGTTAGCGTTGATTGCATTTTCGGTTGTCTAAATATACTGCATATATATAGTATTGCCTTTTTCCTCTGGTGACTCCCCACCCAAAACAAACGAACATTCTCAAAGTTATATATATATGACTTTGTCCAAGTATTTTTCAGTTAAATCTCCTTGTGCGACTACCTTAGCTACCATGAGCAAAATCTGATCACAATACTTTGCTTTCTGCTGTCTCTTTCAGCTTCCTACGAAGTGTTTCATATCGTGAGTTTTCAAGACTTGTGTATGGGATCTTGGGAAACAGAAGGATTCCCTTGCCAGCATGTGCATACACTGCCATAAGGCAACAATTTCCAGTCAGTAAAGATGAACGTTTTACAGGATTCGACCTTGATGAGGAAGAAAACCTGGACCTTGACGAGGAAGAAACCTTGGCCATGTAGATGATGAAAATTTGCGAGAGCAAATAGACTGTCACTTTTTTAAATGTAATTTATATTTTCTAACTCACACCATACAGACATGCGTGAATCAGGTGTATTGTTTGATTTGTGGTTGGGTATGAACAGGAATACAATGCTATCAATGATCTTTAAAGAAAATTGTTCAGATCTTTTAGAACGTCTTCCAACTATGTATTACAAGACCAGTCAGGATAAATTAAATGAGGATAATTATTTGACTTTATGAGGTTGATAGTTGATAGTTGGTTAAATAAAAATAGGGGGGGGGGGGTATTCTGGAAGTGGTATTTCACAGTCATAGGGGAGTACATAGAGTAACCACCCCTGCACTTTCAGAGCAGTTTTTAAATTCTCAAAAGGGTTTTTTCCCTTGTTTTGGTTTTGCTTTATCACACTGGTATGATGGAAAAATCTTGTGTCATTGCCACGTTCAGTAAATTCTTGATACTTATCCAAGTAGTTCACTAAATTTTTACATCTGACAATAATTTTTTAGATTGGCCACACTGTTTCCTTTAAGTTGGTTTTACAATTGCTGGTTTGAAATTGACATTATGCCGGCCATGTTGGTGTGGTGTGTTAGGGTTAAGAACAAAAGCATTTTTCTCCTCTGGGAGTTAGACCCTATTTTCATGTAAATTCTTTGCGAAAAAATTCTATTGTATTGACCACCAACACACCACCATGGCTGCCTTGTCACGTGGTTGCAAGCCAAGAATACTCAAACAAAAACCGCCTTAGTGTTTAACTATTTTTGTCTCCTATTGCGTGGACAATCCACAACATTTTTGTGGCCCTTCAGAGGCTGCTTGCACTCCCGGCATTTTCTGGTGGTTTTCTCTCTCCTTTGAGACTGCTGTCCAGTGGTTTCTGGGACCTGAGAAACTGGTGAGGCAAAAAAAAAAATGGGACTTAAAATTACAAATTCCCATAGCAGTACTTTAATACATTGGTAAAGGGATGACAATAAAAAAAAAATGTTCAGATAAGGAGATTTTGCCATAGATTATCTATGAAAACAGTTATAATCAATTGGTGGAGTGTACAGCAGTGATGTGATGCAAAGTACCTGGTGTGGTTGGAGGGACATCTGTTACCACCATTTTGCTCCTTTGTTGCCTCTTCAGCAAAGCCTCTGCTCTAGGCTGCTTCTCGAGCATGGTGTTCATTGCAGCAGGGGTCTTCTCATAAAGCTTGGTATTTGCATCCTTCAATTCATCTCTGCTCGCATTCATATACGTCTGAAAGATCTCCTCAACATACCCTAAAATAAAAACAGAAAACTCGGTAAAAATAATACTTTTTCAGATTTTTCAAAACAAAAATTTTCAAGTTCACATCTGGACATCCAAATGCTTACCAAAGTTTGGTTCGACTCTCACATCTCTGACAGTAGCTTCACCATTCTTAAACTTTGGGTAAGATACTTTCACCCTCTCAACCCCATCTTTCTCTCGACGTTTCACCTCTCTATGCAGATTAAAGTTGAAGTGAACTGCAGCCAAGATGTGCCTAGGATGTAAATGCCTATTTGAGTCGTAGGTTACATTACAATATACATCAATTTTACAACATCAAGATGGGAACAGACAAGCACAACCACGATTAAATGAATAATACGTTACACCTAAAAATTTGGGTGGGGCTTGTGGATGCAATTCTGGGAACCCTTAACCTTTTTCTGACCAAAAATAATGTGAATTTGCCAACCTTAGTCTTGATTGTAAAAAAGAGCTTTTTGGTAATAGCCATACCAAATTCCAGAAAATAAAATTGTGCAAGAGCTATCACCATCATACAAGAACAAAAAGACCATAAACCATTTGTACCTGCAATACATGCCAACATAGGAGTAAGCAATCATCTTTGGCGCAAAGTGGTTGAGGACCGAGTGAAAACCTTCCAAACAGCTTGTTTGGGCATGAGGAGAAGCTTGTTTAATTCCCCTTACCAGGGCCTTATTGCTGAGTGCCTCACATAATTTTTCGTACACCAGTGTCCCTATTAATCAAGAAATGGAGAGATCAGAATCAGTACCTACTAACATGGAACTAACATGGTGTCAAATTACAAGGCTAGCATACCACTAGAGTACTGTAGTACATTTTTGTGACGATTCTTTTACTACCTTGAGCTATTTACACCATACGATTTTCCATAATTATTACATAAGGCAAGGGTTGGCTCTGGGGAGTATTGAGAATATTGGTTATTTTCAAAAGATTCATCTTCAAATTGAACACTTGGGCGAACCCCCCTGTCCAACAGATTATCTGAAAAACAGCAAAGCAACAACCTTACTTTTACAAGGCTTCACCTATGAACATACCACTTCTTAACCATTTCCGTGGTTCAATATTTCCATGGGCGCATTTATTGAACAGGGGATCACTGAAGCCAGAATGCTTATTGATGACATGATTAAGGAATCCCTTAAACTTTGCCAAAATAACTCTCCCATTGCCACTGAAGGTAGAGGTGGCACTCCAGTGGAGGTGCCTTTCACATGGCTTTATCCACTCAGATAGGGCTTCACAGTCTTTCAGTTTTGCAATCTTCGATAGTACTTTGCGGATTTCTGTGGAAAGACAAAGAGAAAAAACAAAACTTTCATAAGGGTTTGGATTGATCAGGTAATGTATCACTCAGTATCCAGGCCTCTCGCACTAGTTTAGGCTAATGCCCGATCCCCAGGATTGACAGTGTGTGCAAATGCCCTACAGTTGACCCAGGAGGGAGGGGGGGGATGGTTGCAGCTGGAATTGATTGATGCGTAATGTTTGGAACAGACAAGAAGTTTACAAAAATATAATACAATCTACAATGATAGTGAAGACTGGTATATCCTTACTCTTCTTTAGATGCCAGATGTCGAAGTAGTGAACAATACTTGTAAGAACGTTTTTCATGTGGCTGGCTATAGTGGTACGTCTGTCTGAAATGAATGTGGTGATCAGAAGGCCATAAGCCAGCAAGAAGTCCATGCAATGTTGAAATGCCATAAATTCCATCCCTGTACTATTTCCAGCCTCATTCCTCTATAAAAAAAAAAAATGATGGATATAAATAAAACGGAAAGACCAGTTTGATGTCTCCAATGAAAGTTAAATTATTGGTAAGGTCAATTAGCAAGTTAAAAGAGTGCATCTGGGAATAAAAGAGTAGTGTACATACATTATGAACTCTATATAAAGTATGATGTATTTCTAAGTGACATTGCAGGGAGCTACACTGTAGGTGCATTACTCAGAAGTAATAATGATAAAAAATATATCTAACCTGAACCAGAGAAAAATGAATAATCATGGGAACAGTGCAGCAGAAGATTGTATAGGCACCAAATTTTGCACTGTGTTCCATGCTATCATGGCGACCATCTCCTGCAATAATAATGCCATCTTGAATGGCCTTTAGTTTTGCAAGCATCTGAGCTTGGTATCTTTGCCAGTACAGGTAGACTGAAGGGAAGAGTTTGATCTAAAATGATAAAAAAGTAAACTTCATTCTTTGTATACTGTAATAGCATAAAATCCCAATAATAAGCCCCCTCAAACTCTCAAACATAAATATCCTCGTACTAATAGGAGCCCATGGATTGATAATGGTAAGCTGTTTTAGACTGTTTTCTTAGTGTTTTAAACAGTTTTATTGTAATGTCTAACCCATTCTCGAAAGGGGCTTCCAAATATGCCCAGCAAAAAAAGCCCTTAAGTTTAAATAAATATAAATCCAGGGCTAATTATTTCGGTTATTTCAACTCCAAGAAGGAAATGTATTTGTCAGACCTGCACAATCAGTTTATCGCCTAAAATTCCTTTCCGTAGTTTTACTGACTGCAATACAAGCAATCATTTTACAATAATAAAATTAACTGAAAAATGTAAATAAGGCTCAGAATCAATAAAATGGGGGTATTATCATAGAATACAAATGAGACAAGACTTACCCTTTGATATTTGAAGAATGTGTTGATAGACACACAACCAAGTCCCATATGGCGAAACACTTGAAACACTTTGGTGGCTGATCCTCCTGAAAGCAGAGTGCTCATACAAAGGAGAAAGTTCCCGGCTGGTATCTTTGAGTTGGGCAACAAGGGCTGGCTGTACCATGTCTGTTCTTTCTGACATTTTTGGTTAATGCAGGTTGTTTTAATAATGACCTCTGTACCATTTTCTCTGGCTTCAACCAGTGGGTTATCAGCTTTGCAGATTGTACAAAATCTAAAAAGCAGCAGTAATTTTGTCAAGAAGACAATGTGCTTTGGTTCAGATCTTAGGTTTGAACCCTTCAGTGGCAACCTGCAAAAAAATAATCATGTAATAAAAAACCTGTACTACCCCATAGCTTTGCAACTTACAAAACCCTTGAAAATATTACCCTTTGAAGTGTTTCTGAAAGGCAATATATAAATAATTACAGTACTTTAAGGCAGACAATAAAAGTTAATATATTTTTTAATTACCAGTACCCTTACACAGCATCCCTAACTAATTCTAGGGTCCTTTTTGCATTTGCCAGGATGTTTTGCCTTTTGTTCACTGGATTCTGAAATATTACTAAGTATTTAGAGTAAGTAAAAAGTAATCAGATCTCAGTGTCACAGAATTTCAATTCGTGCAGCAGAGAAGCACTGAATGACATGTACTTTACACATAAAAGTTTTGCATTTACTGTAAGCTTGAACTAGAATAGAAAATGTGTTCTTACCTATTGGACTTTTTGGAATCATCATCTTCATCACTCTCTGTCTCAGTGGTTTCAGTCTCGTCTGTCTCTGTTTCATACACTTCCTCCTCCTCGGCATCTTCCTCCTCCTCATCCTCTTCCATGTCCTCCAACTCCTCTTCAGCTGTCATCCTTTTGTCGTTGCAATCACGTTCCTGATTGCCTGACTCCTGATTAGCTGATGCTATGGGCTCAGCAACATCCTTGGTGTCTAAACCAAAAAATAATGGTGCACACATGCATTTAAATTATGGATTGCTATGTCAAATATGCTAAAGGACCTTGACCATTAGTGGTTTGAGCTACTTTGTATCAATATGACAACATTTTCTTGGCTACCTGGCACCTAAAATTAGCTGAATTCAAAATCTCTGGCCTTGTCTATAGTCTCTAATTTTTGGCACCTTCCCTTGTGACGTGTCTCCTCGTTGGATTACATTCTCGAACCTGTGTGTGTATTTTCATGGAATGGCCAAACTTAGTGATTACTTGCAATAGTAAAAAACTACATTCTTGTGTCTTTTTGCAGCACCATTTCTATTTACAATTCAGATGATATCATTTTAGTTACAAAACTTATGCTACCTTTACTTACTTCCGCTTCTTCTCCGGTACTTCCGGTTTTCGTTTTTCTGCCTAGAAAGATGCCCTTGAAGCGTTCGAATCTTGTTTTGCAAAATTCTGTTCTGATTTTGAAGAACAGAACAGTTGCTGCACTTGCTTTTGGGCCCGGCTGGTTCATCCTTTCCTGGTGATGGTGCAGCTGTTTCAACTTCTACGGTTTTGTGGGAAGTCGAGCCTTCAGTGGTTGAACGAGCAGAAATCGAACTTTCGGTGATTGAACCTGTAGACGTTTCACCAGTAGAACTAGATTCTATTAGTTCAACTTCAGCTGATTCAGTCACTGAATGCTCAATCGCTGGAGGTTCAGCTTCTTCTGGTTGGCTTCTTGTGCTGGAAGCAGGATTCACCGCCGACGCTGTGCTGCACGTGGCCGTGGCAGTTCCAGCTACTCTCACTCGTTTCTTGCTTGGTTCATCGATGGTATCAGAACCAGCTCTGCGGCCTGACATTGCCGCTTTGACTGCCTACAAGGACAATTTTATAACAGGCTTAGAAACAGCGAAGGTAATTTTTGTCGCATTCTTCAACGACAAATCAACAATAAGTTCAGTATGACAACAAGGATTTATTTATCTCACCATTCTTTTATCTCTCGCGGATATAGGTTTTTCTTTCGCTCCACTGTGTATACTGGGGAATACGCATACTCCGAGCTCGTCCTTTTGTAGCCATTTGTTGCTCAGATCTACCTCATTGCCGAACTGGAACATAAACTCTTCTGGTTTAAAATGGACCGAGCATAAATGGGAATGTACTGATGGTTCCCACTTTGCCCGTTTCAGCTTAACCCAGTCGACCCATCTTTTACGCCGTTTCTGTGCTTCTGGCCTTGTATCGCCGTAAAACGGAAACCGATGCATTGAAATATTCCTCTCCTTGTCCTTGATGTTACCACAATTGGCAGCGACGCACCGGTCAGGCATAATTTCTCTTTTTGCACGACCACAACACAGTTTTCGCACTTGATTCCCGCAAAAAGGAAGGAAATGAGTTTTCGTGTGGTTCCTGAAACTACGTCACTCCACGTGACTAGAGCCATGCCCCGCAGAACTCGGTAGTGAGCCAAACACAGCTCCGTTTTGGCGCAATTTTTGAAATTTCAACAGGCCACAGAAAAAAGAATATTTAACCAAATCGATTTATTTTTTCGCAGAACAACTAAATTAACATGGATATTTCAACTAAGCGAATAAAAAATTTGGGGTTAGGTGCACTTTAAAGAAGAAAAAAGTAGATGGAATTTAAACCGAGATTTTGCAGGCTAAGATTCAATATTATATCTGTATTAAATTCCTAAATTTTGTTACCTTTATTTTAGTATAGTACCCGTAACTGCTAGGCTGTACTTTCTGGAGGAAAAATGTCTGCTCTTATCTGTGCCACCTGTAAACAATTGACCCGACATGTGGACAAGAATCCGAATTGGTGTAGAAAGGGAATTTGTCGGTAGGTCAACCATGCAGAAATTAACTCTTATTTAGACTTTCAAAAAAGTCCTACGCCCGAAACAGCTCGTTCCGCTAGCTAAGAAAACTCGTGCTGTCGACTTGACTCTAGCAAGTCTACTTTTTACTAGTTATTCGGACCAAATTTTTACGCGAGCTAGGTTCCAGATGTCTTTTGTTATTTTCAAGGCAGCAAAAGCGTGAGGACCTCTGGCATTTAGTAGAGGACACAATTTTGATTACATGCATTATTGCTGTAACCGCATAGCTACGTGCAAACGGACGCAACAACTCCTAACATTGTTGGGTCAACAATGTTGGGAGTTTTTGCCTCCGTGTTGACAGTGGTGTGCAAATGGATGCAACAACTCTCAACAATATGTAACCCTGAAGAGGGAGCGCAAGCGGACGAAAAACGTAACATCCAGCAATGTATGGAATTGTTGGCCAACAAAGCGTTGCGTCCGTTTGTGTGAAGAGCGTGGACACCGTACTTTTATTTAAACAAAGCTTGGCTTTCAGAGAGTACAAAATTAATTTAAGGATCACGAGCAAAGAAAAGAACCGAGCGGGAAAAGCGCCTCAGAGCCGCTTGTGTCACAGATTTTCAGGAAACATCTATCTCCAGTTGACTTTCTTTCTTTTTCTCTGTTTTTTTTTTTTTTTACTTTAAAAGAATAAACGATGATCGCCTTTCTGTATCACAAGAACAAAATGCGCCAAACCCAGCCTACCAAAGGTATCAGGGTCAGCATTTACGGCGGTCTTGTATGGAAAATCCAAAAGACGGTCTGGCTGACTGGTTTGTAATCAAACACACCAAGGATCAATCGCTGTTGCTTGATTTGCTCTCTAAACATGGTTTTGTGGCTCTGGATGCAACACAGGTAGGTATAAGTAAAAACTAACACTGAAATCAAGCGGAAAAGGAAGGGGTCTGAATGAAAATGAGGAGAGAAAAACCCGTTATACTTTTCTTTGCACCTGTTTTCTAAGGGCAGAACTGCACAACACAAGGCCCCTGGTCATAAGCCGCGGGGGGAAGCATAGTATTTCCCATCCTTCTCATCGTCTAAATTCCGGTACATCAATCAGGGTTGCATTTCTATTAAACCCCAATCTAAGATTAAATGTAAAGATCCTTTAAAAACAACAAAAAAGTGGCACAAATCCTAAATTCAACAAACTTATAACGGAAACCTGGGATGCTTTGACAAAAAAGCTGTCACCTTCAGTTTATTGAGTAAGAAATCGTGTTAATTCTGATGCAACTGGGATCGAAGTAAAATTTGATAAGAAACACCAAAATAAACATGGTTGTCACCCTCTTTACCATATGTGTCGTTATTTCACTTATTAGGACTATATTTACGGTAAAAAATTAGCCTCCCACGTAAATGTTCTTAGGGGTTTCAAGCATTCTAGCCTGGGACCAAGCTTCGCAGTCGGGGAAAAGGCCAAAAAATCGGAAGTCTGGGGAGAATGGCTCTTTCCCCCTCCCCAGTCCACTGCTCGACTCTCTTTACTCTCTGATTTTTTTTATGTCGTTTCACTTCGTTTTTTGCCATTTTTCCCCACAGCAGAGCCTGGTCCTATGAGGTAGCCTGAGTATCAGGCCTTCCTAAGGGGGTAAGGGAGAGGGGATAATTGTGAGATTGACTCCCACTCATGTGATGACTTCATATTCACCGAACCATATTATTATGATACAACTCACTTTGACTCTGAAGATGACTACCACACAGTCAGGTTGTCGAAACGTCAGTCACTGTCAACAACAACAGTCCTATTCAGGACTACGTTCACCCGGACGATCAAACTCAACCTACTTTTCATATTATTATAATTAGTGCCTATACGAGTGGACGTTTTCTCTCGAGACTTAGTTCATATGAAGTAGTTTTAATGTAAAATTTTGCCTAGTTTCAGATCCAAAAGAACTTTTCTCTCTCCCTTTTTTCCAGGGTGACAATTATCCACGACTCACAAGATCAAGTTCTTCAACGTGAGTAAAAAAAAATAACCACACCCTCCAGGGGGAAACGTTTTCAGAACTAGTTTATTTCGATTACTTCATCTTATAGCGTTACTTTACTTCATTAACCTGTGAAACAGTATGTAACAATTAGTGCCAAGTAGATACAAGTGCATGTTGTGGTTCAGTTCTATCCCTGGGTTAAAGTTTATTTTCCTTTGTTTCAAACTCATTATCAAACACTACCATACCCCCCCAAAAAAAACGAAATAAAATTTAAACCAAGGATGAAATTGAACCACAAAATACCCACAAAAGAAAACGTGATGAAATTAGTATTTGAAGGGGCTGTAGTGTCACGCTTGCCTTGATCATTTAATATTTAATGCCAGTTACGCGTCCTTATTCGCTATGAAACTTGAGAATGACAAAATCACCCCTTTTTTCCCAACAAATTATGTCTCCCAAGCATTATATCAAACAATACAAACAACAAAAATGAACTTTGAAAAACTGTTAGGCTAACAGGTTTTCCATAGCCACAATTGCAATCCATTTCAATCTTCTTCAAGTTTAACTATCGGTGCCTACTTTTGTATTTGGTGTGTCACTAATTTTTGAGCGGTTGTTTAAATGTTTCGCTCAATTTGGTGGCCAATTCCTTCGGTTTGAATTTAGATAAATGTTCGGTGACACAGTCCCTTTAAATATATATGTTGCTAAGACAGAATGAGCTCATTCCCTCTTGATGTTGCGTATTAGTCTAAACAAAAACAAACAAACAAACAAACAACCTTTATTAATACATCCAAATAGAGAATTTTACATGTTTTGATAGCTAATGAAAAGAAAAGAAGAAATTGTTACATAAAACTATGCATTATGATAACAAATATGTCTAAGAGCAGTAAATAAACATACGTTTTCGTACTCTCGCCTAGCTATAACAATGATATTTTTTATAAAGTGATGACAGGTAAATATAAGCAGCAAACTGACGCAACAAAACAAAATAAGTATTAAGTAAATAACACACACATTGACACTATATGGAGATTGAAAAGAACGGATATGATCAACTAACTTTCAAATTGTCGAATTAGTAGATATTGTTTTAGTAATCGTGGAAAAGACAGCTGAAAGGAGTAAATCTACTATCTATTTTAACGGGTAAGATCAAGTAAAGTAACGTTAAGTAACGTCACTGTATCGATCTTTTTCTACCCTACTACCAGTCAACTGGATTCAAGTGTTATAGGACGAATAAACTGAGATCAGACCATTTTATTACATTGCTCTCAAATAACGATGTGAACGGTTTCGCGTCTAACTCTTTTTTGCAATGCGAAGCTTGCCAAATCTCCCCATGTATAGTTATCTTCGTCTTCGAATCTGACTCTAGGTTTCCCTGATTAACATGCTCATATAAAAGGTCCACAGAGAATGTACCATCAGCTATGAAACAAACCGGCATGAAAGTCTTCAGGTTACTCATTTAGTAAAGTACTATGTCCCAAACAAGCTATTCTCATGTATAATACTCCTGCAAAGAAGAACTGCTCTTGTGGGAAGGCAAGGAAACAAATAGCTCTTTCACGTCACACCCCTGCAAATTTCACCACAAAACCTTGTTCTGGAATTGTAAACTTACGAGAGTTCTTAATATACATTCACGGTGAAGCCGTTAAAGTAAATAAAAAGAGTGCTCATGCGCAGTTAGCACAAATGCAAAGAATCACTTTTGTCCGCAAAGATGGCTCAGTGAAGAATTTGGGAAGACTGGTATCAACACTGGGTATGAGCATTTGGGGACACTCTCCTTAGTCCTCTCTTTCTTTTTATTAAGAAAAAGGGCATATTTCTTTAATGAAATTTGAAAAAATCAACTTCTGAATTATACAGCGCTGTTAATCGTTAAACGTATTTTTGAACGGTATAGCTGGTTAATTCGCTTTATTCAGAAAGTCTTAGGTTCGACCCCAGTTTGGAGAGTTGTCGAATTATTCTCCGAGTCGCTGGTCATTCTTGAATTTGACTTTCTTTCTTTTTCTTTCTTTCTGCCTTTAAAAGAACAAACAGTGACCTCCTGTCTCTATCACAAGAACGACACGCGCCAAACCCAGCTTACCAAGGGTTTCAAGATCAGCAGTTACAGCGGCGGTCTTGTATTAAAAACCTGAGGGATGGTCTGGCGGACTGGTTTGTAATCAGACATACGAGGGATGAAGCGTTGTCAAGCGATTTGCTTTCTAAATACTGTTTTAAGGCTGCGGATGCAACACAGGTAGGAGCTAGTCTTACACAACTGAAAAATAACACTGAAATCAAGAGGGCTGAATTTCCTGCAAGGAGGCCCAATGAAAGCCAGGAGAATGAGAAAAGCGCCATTTTTCTCTTTGAGGCTTCTCGCGTCCCCTGTGAATTGTACAAAACGGGTCATGGTACTTTATTCTCGTTGTCTAAGTTCTTTTGCCAGTTCTAGTATATACTCTAGGCGTTCAGTTCAGTGCAGTGTGGCGCGAATTAGTGAGAGAGAGAGAAAAATAGGAAGAAAGACCTCCCCCAACCCCAGGTTAGCACTGGCCCCAAAAACTCCCCTTTAGGCAAAGTTAAAGGGTGATAAAGTTTATTCAGTCAATTTTTGGAATTGACAATTTTTTCTTAAATTGTTCGAAATGTTCTTGTTCTTTTCTTGCAGAATACTAATTCACAGTTCATAGGATTGAGCTCTTCAAAGTTAGTGAAATACAGATGATACACTTAATAGCATGGTCCACTAGAGAAGACGGATTATTCTAAATATGTCACCTTGTTTAGAACGCATGGAATTTTTATCCATCATTCTCAAATAATACTTGAAAAAACGAATATCATTTTCGTGAAGTGAAGAAAAGAAAATCCAGTTTCTCTAGCAATGAACTGGATTCAAGTTGTAACAGAACGGTCTTACGATGATTCTGTGAACTCGTTAGTTTTTTGCAATACCCATCAAACACACACGCCAGTTCGTTAAATTTTTGTGATAAATGAGTTAACGCCAAAAGGTCACAACGTTTCAACCTCCTCTAAGTAAACAGTTAAAAAATGCCTTGAACTCTAAGATGTGATCGAATATGTCAACGATAAGTGATAAAGGGTTTAACATTTTATAAAATTTTAGAGGTAAGACACTTACTCTGACTAATTACTTGCTCGGTTAGGGTAGAAGGTCATCTTCTAGTGGAAACAAAGGTGGGAATTAGGTGCTGGCGCGCGGTACAGAATTTTTGTGTGCCTAAAAACCAATAATTAGTTAATAATTATCACCTTTTTAGCTTTCACTCTTAATAGCGACGTATTCAATATTCATACTCCTAGCTTATTTTTCCCCCAAATCGAGCCGGAAACGGAAATGAGGTCAACATGTTTAGCACCCCCAAAAACCTAGGAGAAGTAACAATCTTCTGGTTGGGGGATGGGAAACGAGTTTTGGTTCGAGAATACGAGACTCTGCCTTATTGCAAATCTTGACTACTATCTTACAAAAATTTGATTTCTGTTTCAGATTCATCTGCTCATTTTGTAGCCGAATTCCTGCACTGATGTAGCGTTAAGAGCAGGCTTTGTTTCTTCAATCAGAATATAAAAAATATGTATTTAAAACGATTTCTTGGAATATCAAAAAACAGTCAGTTCTTTCGTTTAAATATTTAGTTACCTAGACAACTGTGTAATTTATGACAGAGGAATATTTTTATTGTAGAGTTTTAATAGGCAAAAACAAATTGTAAATAGTGTTGTTAATCAACTGCAAACTGTACACGGAGAGTCTTATTTTGTAAAATTCATTACGAAATTAAACGTAACAGTTTATGAGAATATACTGTTGTTATTTTCTCTTACTTTTTATAAGCTACAAATTGGTGACAGAAAACCCGTCGTTTTATTGAAAAATCACTACGCATCATGCAAACGTCTCGTAATTGGTTTGGTTACGGAGGCACTAAAAAGGACAGAACGAAAGGCTTCACCGGTGAGGTCAGCTTCCTTAAGTTACGTTGAGTATGGTCTTGGAATTATTAGGAGCTCTTTATTTTAACGTCTTTGGCAAAAGGTCTGTTATAGAGGTTTCATTTCAATGGTAACATTATAGGATTTCGTTGACGGATTTAGAAGTTAGAGTATAACAATACCCCCGCCATAACCTGGCCTTTGATTGAAATGTTTACATGCATACAAACGTTTCAATCCAAGGCCAGGTTATGGCGGAGCCATTGTTAATCTCACAAGGTGCAACACCTTTAACAATATTTAAAATGTTGCAGATCCCACCAAGTTGCAACTTGTTGAACGGATAGATCGCATTTTTTTTTTTTCGTCCAACCGCGTCCAACTCACGTTCGATAAGTTGAATGATCCAGTCAACATAGCATGAACGTTAATTTTGTTGAGTGTCAATGGCATTAGATCGAGAATGGCAAAAATAAAAATGCCAAGACATAATGAAAGCGACGGGTTTTGCCGAAGAAGTTTGGTTTAAAAATCTGGACAAACCCCCAGTACCGGAGCTGTCTGAGCTATGTGACCCCAAGGTAGTTGTCTCAAGTTGGTTGGTACATTTGTCAGCAAAAATAAGCAGTCGGTTATATAGATCGATCGAACTAAAAATGGGTCAAATAATACTCAGGTAATTTTTTGGAATTGTTGTTAACGATGTATTAATTATTGAAAAATGTTCATTAAAATGCAAGTGTTTAATCTGAGATCAAAAACCGTAAGATTTTCATCTGAGTATTCAATGGGTATCAAGGTTCATGCATGTGACCCAAATATGCCTGATTTATTGGCTGTTACCCTCATGAATAATTAATGAGTTTGTGAACCCAAGGTCAAAGGCAGATATTTACGTTTGACATTGACAAAAAAAACAATGATCACAGGAAAAATTGTGAATCCAGTTTTAACATTAATCATTGGAATTGCTTCTTTTTCATTTTACAAACCTTCTGTTTTGTACAGAATTTGTTAAATTTGACTATTTTATATGGAAAAAGGCTAATGTGGAACTGGGAACTTTCTTTACGTGAGCAAGCAAGCACTATAATCAAATCTATTTATAGAAAACTTTTGTCGGTGCACCTAACATTTTGTCTATTGTTTTACTTATTATTTGAAATTCTTCATTGGTACGCATGCTGTGCCGGTTAATAGAGAGGAGAAGTCGTTACGTCACTGTAACCTTGGTAGCAAAATTTTTGGATGACAACAAACCGAAAATTCACCAAAAAGAGAATTTGTACCGCTTCAAACTTCATCGATCTTATTTAATTTCATTTAACTTGTCAGAAGTTGGCGAAATTTTCTTGGTTGAATCCGAAAGGACCGTATCTAAGTTTAAAAAATGGAAAACGGAAATTTTTGAGTTGGTTCACCGACTACTTGAAGCGGGCGATTGAACTTAGGAAGTTTCATGTCGCAGTCGTGCAACCACGGCAAAGAAATGAACAAAATAGTATGATGCACGTGCAAATTTGTTGTTTTGTCAATAAAAACCTATTACTTTTTTGCCGTTCTCCTTCCGTCGTTGGTTTTGTTATCATCCAAAAATAGTGCTACCATATAGACGTGACGTCACACTTCTCCTCTCTATTGTACCATACAGAAGTGTAAAAACAAAATATTAATTATCATCATCATTATCAATATAACAATAATAACAATTATTATTATTATTATTAAGAGAGTATTTGCTGTCTCGTAAGTGTATGGAAATGCTAAGTAAATGATTGTATTGATGTGCTTTAACATTCCAACAAGGTCAACAGGTCTTATGTACTTCACTACGATACACGCTTCACTTCTATACACGCTTTCCATTTTCTCGGCATCGCAAATCATTCTCTGACCGGTACAGACATTGCAAAGCGAGCGGCCAGTTTCTTTAGTATCATACCCAAAGAGGAAATGCAGCCGTAGGGCCTGTAGACACTCGAAGTAAGTTTTATTTTGTTATATAACATCGATAAAACCCGGAACACGGAACATTCTGGAACATTCCGGAACATCCCGGAACATGAAAAAATAAAAATAATTTTCATGAAAAAAAAATATAATAAAATAATAATAATAAAATAATTTTTGTAAAAATTAATAATAACGTAAAAAAACAAAAAAAAACAAAAATAATGAAATAATCAAGAAAAAGAAACTGGTATCCTCTCTGAGTATGAGAAAACAATATTTTGACGCAACAAATTAAAATTTGTTGGGCGAGTGAGAGTTCATGCAAATGGCAGTAATGAGTGAATGCTTGCTTCTAAATTCAAAATATATTAAAATGGGTCGCGAGGAGGGGGGTTTTCAAGCTTTTCTCACACAGCCACCTCTTGTAATTGTTTGCCATAAGTTAATCATTTGGCGGTTAACCATTTACGGTTCTGCAATGGTATGAAATGTCGGTGCAGTATTTCATGTCAATCCAAGTCGGTAAGTAGCTCATTTCAAGCCGACATATAGTCTCCTTATATATATTAACCGACATTTGCTTACTTGGGGTGCTTTGTTTCACTTGAGGTTGACATGAATTACTTACAGACTAGGCGGCTCTGTGAACTTAAGAAGAGTATAGGGGCTCCTGTCTTTGGATTTTAGTGGACATACTCACATTCGTAGTAGTTTGTATACTGTTTACAGTCAGCATGATATTTCAGACGTTTCCACAAGTCGCAAGAGGAGTTTGCCGGGAGACGGCTAAAATTCAGGCTAACTGTTAGAAACTACCGCTGCGCTACCACTGCTACTCCAACGTGAATCTTTAATTTAATTATCCAAGTCCAAAGCGACGAGCCCCTAAGCTCTTCTTACGGTCGCAAAGCCGTAAATGGATAACCGTTAAACCGCATGGCAAACATTTACAAGAGGTGGCTGTGTGAGGAAAGCTTGAAAACCCCCTCCCCGCGACCCATTTTAATATATTTTGAATTTAGAAGCAAGCCTTCACTCATTACTGTCATTTGAATGGACCCTCACTCGCCCAAAAAATTCATTGCGACAAAATATTGTTTTTTCATACTCGGAGATGATACCAGTTTCTTTTTCTTTCCTTCTCTGTTTGTTTCTTTGTTTTTCGTTTTTATGTTATGTTATGTTATTAATTTGGTTACTATAAATTTTTGCAAAAATTGTTTTCTATCTATTGTTCTTTTTATTTATTATTATTATTATTATTATTATTATTATTATTATTATTATTATTATTATTATTTAATTATTTATTTTTTCATAAAAAAATATTTTAATTTTTTCATGTTCCGGGATGTTCCGGGATGTTCCAGGATGTTCTGGGATGTTCCGGGATGTTCCGGAATGTTCCGGAATGTTCCGGGATGTTCCATGTTCCGGCTTTTATCGACGCCCACAAGTTACATTACTTTCGCACCCGCAAATAGCTTATCAACTAATCGAGGTGGGGGAGCTGAAGACATATTACAAGTACAAGGTTTATCTATTGATGGACTAATAACAGTGAAGACACTACTACTATACAATAAACTAACATAAAACAAGGTAAGCACCTAACGATTACGAAGAGAGGCTATAACACGGATCATGTATTAAATAACTTGAGATTTGAGTTGGTTGTTCTCCCTTTTTATGTTAGCAATAGACTTAGGCATAGTATACGATAACTCGAGATATATAAACGACACATAAACGAAAGCCAAATAAATAATTGAACAAACGATTTAAGAGGGAAGGAAAACTTTACGGAGCACTGAGCACACGTCCGTCCATCTTCGTCAGCTCACGTGACTTTACAGATTCATCAAAGTATCAAAGAGTATTTTTCGCTGATTGTACATGTGTATCTAATGCTTGGGTTGATTTTGATGAAGATGGGAGGAAAAAGCTCTGGGAACGAGGTTGCATTCCAACAAGGCCAACACGTTTTTTACTTCACCACTGTTTCACGCTTCAGCTACTATACACGCTTCCCATTTTCTCGGCATCGCAAATCATTCTCAGACCGGTACAGACATTGCAAAGCCAGCGGCCAGTTTCTTTTAATTAGTATCATACCCAAGGATGAAATGCAACCGTGGGGCCCGTAGACAGTCGAGGTATATGCTTTATGATCGGGTAAGTATAAAACGGTTCTAAAACTGAAAACTCGGAAACGGAATATTGAGAAGTTTCCCGCAAAATCATTGAGTCGTATGAATTGAACGATGCAAAGGTTTTGAGTTAAAAAAGGTATATCAGACGCATGCACGCTACCTTATTGCCCACGGACCTTGCAGTCGGTACTTCCACGAAATTTTACGTTTATCTCAGCTAAAGACGCCCCTTTTTAGTGCATCGGCGAGATTTCTCGTCCCCTATATACCCTTTATATAGACCAACCTATTTACCACTCCTTTCTTCATCGTCGCCAGGAGATGACTCTTGATTATTAAAGTTTCACGTTATATTAATTGCGAAGGTTTCAAATTTTTACTAATTTAGTCTGTATATTGAAACATTCACATAATTTGTGCCGTTTGTCTGATGCTCTGATCACCGCTTTTAAAGCTAGGTGCGTGTGTGTATCATGTAATATCACTGTTTATTAGGTTCAGATCTTCAAGAACAAGCAACAATATCTCAGTCCCTGTATGGTTATTAAGTGCAATGTTTCTACCTTGAGTGCTTATGCTGATTCATCAATAAAAAATTTTTTTAAAATATAACCATTTCTAGATACTCGATGACGTCATCGAAGAAACCTTGTTTACTTAACTCTTATATCTTATATTTGAACCTCAGCGTTTTCAGTCACGTACTCAGTTACATTCTGTGAAGCCTTTCAAAATTGAAGGCATATAGTGACTAAATACTTTCTCGGTTGTCGGTTAGAATTTTCGATCGGTAGTCCCGATTAACAAAAAAGGTAACACTTTATACAGGCACAATTATAGGCATTAAACTGTTCCTGTATACATAGCAAAGGATGGCAGGGATGGACGTGATGAAACTTGAAAAAGTTGGGCCAACTTTCGTTGATTATGCCTGCAAAATTCGTCAAAAAAAACCATATAGTTAATGCTCCCTGATAAAATTTGTTTGATATGGCATTTTGTGTATGGATAAAGGCACAAACAAGTAATGACTTTAGCACAGATTTGGCCTTAAACAACAATAATTAACAATTCAAAGGAAACTTTCAATTCACAAACTACTTTATTGGCGTTTTCTTTTATATTTCCTTCAATATAAGCTCAACGGATACTGCAAAAATCAACCAAACAACACCACGGTTTTAATCCTTTCAGAACGACTGCTGGTGATAAATTACTTAATTAGGGAAAGTTCATTTAATATGACAAGGGGGGGGGGG